ACACACGCACGCAGGCTCCGGTCGATATGTTCGTACGCCACATCTTTCACGCTCTCTCACGCTCGTTATTCCAAAGCGCACTCCCGTGTCCGTGGCGCGCACACACTCGTGTCCCACTGAGCCGCTGCACTTTGGGGAAAGACACGTCTCACACATTGCTCTCATTGCTCTGATACAAACAACGTGTTCCCCGCTGTCTGTTAGCTACAGTAGCTGTTAGCTACAGTAGCTGCTACAGTAGCTGTTAGCTACAGTAGCTGCTACAGTAGCTGTTAGCTACAGCATCAGAATGTAAACAGGAAGCTCGCACAATGCGGGAGTCACTGAAGTTAGTATTAGCGCCACCAGCTGGACCGAGCGTTGTACTACAGCACAGTTACTCAGGCACAGTTGAAAGAACAAGCATGAAAACCCGAGGAGGCTTTTGGAAAAGACTGTCTGTTACAACATTTCTATTTTGAGTCATCAGTTTTAAAAATGTGATATTTCATGTAAATAATGCATGTGTTTAATAGGATTGATATATTTGCGATGGGCCTTGTTTGTGTGATTTAAGTTATTTTGAAGGTGCATAGTGTCATTGTAAGTGAAGTTATTATAAAACTGTTAAGCTACATTTTCACTGTTTACAATGGCAGAGCCATCTCGTTTACAAGCATGTTTTAAGGCTTAATTCCTGTTACACTTATGCTCCATGGGGATTTAGATTGAACTGCATAAAGGAAAATCTATTTCTTTGTCAGTTGTAGTTTGTTTTTAAATAGAAAAAAATAAATCGATTAAAATCGAAAATTGGATTTGGTGTGAAAAAATTGGAGATTTTTTTTTTTTGCCATATCGCCCAGCCCTAATGTGCAGTAGTAGCATCACTGAGTATTGGTCAAACCGCTGCTTTTAACAAGGGGAAGGTGCTCGTATCTCTCTACTACTATTATTATGTTTTCACTATGTGCACATTTATGTTTTTCTAGGTGTATACACAAGCTAAAGCGTATTAAAGATTTTAGAAGCATTTACAGCTATTTATATTGCTTTGTGTGTTCCTTATTTCTATTGTTCAGTGTATTTAATGCAACACAGACATTTCCCACTCTCAGACCAGGTTTCTCTCATCTTTCTCTTGCTTCGGCTTTGAAAACTAAGATTTGCTAATGAAACCATCAATGTTTTTGTTTAGCATGAGCCACGTGATTTCTCCTTTAAAAACAGAATAAAAAGTATAAACCGATATTAATACATTCTAAAACTTACTAACAGTTACTAATCTGAACAAGTATCAATACTGTTTAAATAACACACATTTTAAACTTAGAAAGAAATAGAAAACCTTGTGTTAAATTACAGTTTATTACCCAGAAATAGCATTTATGAATGATTTATATTTTTGTAGCATCAAAATCAAGTTTAAAATTTAGTGTAACTGTTACAGGCCGGCTCTGTGGCTGCAACAAAGAATAAGGGGGAACGACACAAGGACCAGATTTTAAGCTATGGTTGGCATTTATTGATAAAGAATAAGAATAATATTATATTTCTGCAATCAGTGTAAGTGTAATAAGAGTGGCTGCGTGCAATGCAAGTATTATCAGTCGGAGAACCTCATGTGTAGGTTTGAGTGTTGAATGAGAATATGTTACTGTTGTTATGTTCTGTAAGTTAGAAATGGGCTGAGGTGCGTGTGGTGCGAATGATAGTCAGCATGATAAGCTTTGTGTAAATGTCCGTGTTGGGTGCAAGTCAAATTATAAGAAGAACGAGTGGCGTGGCCTGACACGTCTGTCCCAGGACGTGGTTGGGACCAGTGTGTCAGAGGGCTGGAGGGAGAGAGAGAGAGAGCCATCAGGCCACCTGCTGCTTTTGAGCGGACCGCCAGCCAATCAGAACGGAGCTGAAAGAGATGTCATGATAGGAGGAGAGAAGGCGTAACAGTAACAACAACCGAGACACTTGACTGGATCTGTGATATGGGGATAATTTGGCACAAGCTTGTATCTTCTTTAAATACAATATTAATCAAGATCAACCCTGCTTCTAAATGTTGGTTATGGCACCTTTAAAGTATCATTAATCCAACAACACACACAGTTACACAACATACACTGAAGCAAAGGCATAAATAGGTTCTGTGAGTTGTTGTGCGTATGGTCACAGTTGTTGATTGACTCCTACATGATTTTATCCGGCATCACATTAAACAACTGTCAAAAGGATTTAAATTGACAGTTGTAAATGACCTCTGCTGCTAAGAATACATTTCCTCATTGTTTCGCGGTTGTTGCTCCGCTCACAGTTTATCGCCAGAACATTTCCTTGACATTTCGCTGGCGTGCGTTCAAAGAGCATCTCTGCAATAAAAAATAAGCAATGATGTACAAGTCAGACTGACCTTGTAGAATCATTATCGCACTATTCATCTCTCCCATCAGGATGTTAATCACCAAATATTTCATTATAATAAAACCAATATCTCATTTACAGCACATTTCGGTCGTAAAACAGACGGTAGAGCCAACCTTTACATTCAAGGCACTTTGGGACTTTTGGGACACAAAGAAAGAAAGAGCAAATACATTCAGTTTATTGGTTTTCATACATTTTAGATGGAGAATTGTATCAGAAAATGCAGATATTCTGGATTATAAGGTTGAATAACGGATATAAAGTGACATTTGAGTTTCACTTGTACTGTACATATATAATATTAATAATAATAACAATAATAATCATAATGAATTGTTTTTATAGCGCAAATTTTGGACGCTCAAAGACACATTTTTCCATACACAGAGTGGTGATAAACTACTATTGTAACCACAGATGCACTGGGACACAGACAGAAGTGAGGCGACCTGTATGTGCCATCTATTTTAATGCTATTAGTGACTGTGTGCTTTCTCACTTATAAATGGAGAGCTGGCTAACCTTACAACATGTCAATGGGCACTTTTCTGTGTTTCTAGTATTCAGCAGAGGTTTATCAAGGAGCAGAGGTCGTTTGTATTGTGCAAAGGCAACAGTTCTTGACTTCTATTGACTGTGTGTGAGATTAGAGTCCAGAGGTTTGAGTAGTCATTTCAGAGCTGAAATCTTTACAATTCAAACAGGCTGCCTTGAAACAAATGAGCCATTAGATTAGAAATTGAACACATTTTACCTGCAGTGTTGGCAATGGCGGAGCTAAGAGTTATGGATTTTTCAAGCTTTTCTTGTATTCGGACTCATACAACAAGAAACTGCTGTGATGAATCAAGTTGAATCATTAATATAGAGTTCACTTTATATTGAATCAGCGGCTATGGCTGTGATATTTTGTGTCTAATATAGAATCTGGACAAAGAGAAAGATATAAAAAGAGATAGACTCTTGACTTTAACAAAATGTATTTGAAACCCATGCAAATCAATATAAAATAAACACACCGTCCAGTAGCTTTGCACATTTCTGCATTCCAACACACACACTCACAGACGTTTACAATATGCACCTCTGTTGGCGGAGTACTGGAACTCAAAGTTGTCCATCACCTTACTATTGTGCTGTAAGAAAACTCCGTCCTGAGACATGCCCCCAGTCTTTCCAACAGAACCTCAGCGTCAGTGCAGCCAGAGTCAGATGCCCTTTTTTCCCTGTAAACACACGCTCATTTCTGCCAAATTGTGGAAGGCCACAGTTGTCATTGGGCTGGAGAGTACCTGAGGCCAAACACTATCAGCTCCCTAGTCAGCGCTTGACCCAACCTCTGGAGCCACTGTTCCAGCTGGGTGAACAGGGGAGCGAGCCGCGGGCAAGACAGGCACAGATGTTCCAGTGTTTTGTCCTGTTGATAGAAGGCACAAAGGCTGTCCGATCTCCGGTCAAAGTGGACCTCAAAAGGGGGCTGCAGTAGGGACCCCGAGCTGGAAAAGAACCTGGAATAGAATAGACAATATAATAGTTTATAAAAGAAGAAAGCAGCTTCCCCTCACAACTTAGGTTCCCTCTTCCAATGAAATTAAATCAATACTAACAGAACTTGTTGAGTGTTTGTATGTGTCTCATGTCTGGGTGGGTTCCCTCCAGTCGCTCCGGTTTCCCTCACCACACAAAAATGCAGAACAGTTGCACACCATGCACATGTGTCCACTGTCATTCTACTTAGTGACTTTGTCCCATATCCTCATGCTGCTAACATTTACAGATGGATACTTACAACTATATGTTTCTTACACAAGAATATACAGTATTTACTTTTTTATACTCTATTTATTACGCTAAAGTCAGAGATTTTGGACTTTATTCTTTTGTCTTCATTTAGCTACATTTAGAGATTTGTTTTATTTCATTATAGTTCTTGTTGGTTATTGATCAGTTATTGTGCATATACCTTGTGTTGTGTGCTCCTCCTTCTTACTGTTCTGTAATCGGTGATGCAACACTGAAACTTCCCCACTGTGCAACGAATAAAGGATCACGTATCTTTCTCTAGTTAGACCTCCAACTGTGGTCGTCTTGACTAGTAGTAGATTTGAAGCATGGGGAGCTAAATGCACAGGGCATATTTCCCTACGGGGCAATAAAGTATACATAATAATATTATAGGTGGTAATCTGATCAGGTTCATTATGTTCCCTTATATATTCTTTGGTAGTTGGTCATGCCTTGACAGTTTTGACAGCTATTCTGCCTTTGTATGTAGGTCTGTCTGTAAGAAAACGATAGTACGAGTCATTTATTATTGAGGTCAATGTACATCAAAACATTAATCAAACATTAATTATCAAATGTCACGACATAACATTTTCTAGAAAATCATTAATTTATAATTACTTATTACAATATTGTACATCATTCAAACTCGAAAAATAGTGAGAGGAAGAAAAAAGTAAGTAATACAATTAATTCCCACTCCTGTGAATACCATATTTACATTTTGTGTTTGGAGCGAGTAGCAGAGCAATGTGCAACAACAGCCATACTGACTTTGTCGATGATCAACAATGTGATCTTGCGTCTCTCCACAGCTCCCACAGTGGTCTCCTTCTCCTTCGACGTGGGAAACGGGCCGGTGGAGCTGAACGTCCACTCGGCCACGCCTCTCAACGACGACCAGTGGCATCGCGTGTCGGCCGAGAGGAACGTGAAAGAGGCCGTGCTGCAGCTGGACCAGACGTACAGGGTTTCCCGCACCGCACCCACGCAGGGGCACACCAGGCTGGAGCTGTTTAGCCAACTCTACGTGGGTAAGAGCCAAGACCCTCCCACACATTCAATTAACCAGACAATTATGAGGTAGAATTGCTCTGTACACACATTTGATTGCAATTTGAACATAATAACTGCCTTTTGAATGAGAGACAAACACGGCATAATTGAGGAGCTCGGAAGTCTGTGTCCTCACAATTAGGGTGAGCGGCTAATTAGAAAACTTTCAGTATTCCTCCACCGAGACAGACATCTATAATAAAGAATGTTTTAAATATCATCTTTAAGGCTTAGCCACTGTGATTGCCTATTAACTCCATGTTAATCCAGGACAGACACACTGACAAAGGCGCTTGCTTAGCTGTAAGTGATCTGCGTTTTAATGAACACCTATGCCTCCGACGAGACTGAGATGGGACTTAACAGTGTTCGCTTAGCCAGGTTATTATCTCTCAGTCCTTAATATCTTAAACTCAGAAATTATTGTGTCGATAATAGTGCAAGGAGGATTTGAAACGGTGTCTCTATTCATTTTATATTCAGACAGATTTTTGTGTGGGTTTCAAAAAGGACCAATCTGGTGCAACATTATGACATTTAAAAGCGGTCATTAGTAAAGCAGATAGACTAAACTGCAGAAAAGAGTATAAATTAAGGATAATAATGCTCAAGCGTGAAAAAAATAATAGATTTTTTTTCTTTTGAAAGTAACCGGCCATATTCATAAAACTGGTTCTTGTTTACTTTATGACTCAAGACTTATATGGCTAAAACAATTAAGATGGCCGGTTAATCTAAAGCTTTAACTATATTGTTTGCACTACAGTTTTCAGTTATATTCAGTCCAAGGCTTCAGTAGAAAGTCGAGAATGGAGTTGATGGAGGATGCAGAGGACTTAATGTCTGATAGCGCTGATGCTCATTTGCATTTTTGTGTTTGGTGTCAAGTGAAGGCGAGAGAAGGCTCAGGGTCTTTCAAACACAACAACATTGCACGTGTCAAAGTGATGACAAGGACGACTTTTATCTGATCCCTGATTCCTTATGTCTCAAAAATATATGGTGTATATACAATATACATGGAAAAAATTTTAATAAATGTGACAGAATAACCCCCCAATTCCAACACTCAATATGTTCATTATTTTTGACCATTACTGACTCCATGTGGCTTCTGTCAGTATGTTTTCCTGCTTCCATTGGTCATACTTATCAGATTTTCGATATTCTTAAATGGGTGTACACAAATTTCACAGCTCGCCATGCAAAATCCTCGAACTAAATCTCTCTGCGTACACGTTATACCTCTTCCCTTTCTCGTAAACGTGTTCAGCCTTTTTGCAGCTAGCACCTGATTGATATTGATGCCGTTTCAATGCACTGCTGTAAAAACAAGGAATGCCGGTCCAGACAGCTCAAAGCGAACACCATTTTGAATTCATCTTTGTTTGTAATATTTGACAGAGGAAGAGGCACAGGGGAAAATAAACAGCTCTTGAAATTACCTCTTGGCTTCTTGTAGGTATAACATAACATGCTCGGCAGGGGTGTGCATAGGGGAGCAGTCTTTTGGCTCACCTTGTTCACATAAGACTCTTTGTATCATCCACTTGTCTGCGTCTCAATCAATATGGCCCGTATCAAGCTTGTGATTGCTTTAGTGTTTACTGCCCAGTGCCTCATTTGCTCTAATAGCCTTCCAACTAAATGTTCTCCCATCAGTCCTCAGTCTGTTAACTCTGCTCCATACATGACTGCAGGTATAAATCTTCCATACCGGACTGCTTGTAAAATGCATCATAACTTTTTAACGATCGTTTCATAGAGCATCTAAAAGTTTCTGAACGCATCAATTCAAAATGGAGGCATCTGGAGGCAAAAGTGAAAACATAATGTCATACAAATAGACACGTTTGGATTGGCGAGTGATGTAATGGTACTGTATGTCAATTGTACTGTATGGTATGGCATGGATTTTATTTTTACAGGGACAGTGTACAATACAAATTAGCCAAGAGGAGAGATGCATTGTTCTATGTTGTAGCAGCAGTGCTAATTTACACCTGTCCCTGAGCAGGTCGTTGTGAAACAGTAAAATACAGGTAGATGGATACATTACCGTATATTATCAGACAGAAATTACAATTTAATTTACAATACAAGTTCACAATGTCGTCTCCTGCTGCCTCCATTCCAGAAATGTTGACTGTTTTGAAAGTGTCTATAACTCATTGTTTTTTATAATTTGTCTATTATATTATATATATATATATATATATATATATATATATATATATATATATATATATATATATATATATATATATAATATACTATATATATAAATGCATGGTTTCTATGTGTTTTCACTCTCTGCAACTCTTCTGCTTTTATGTCTGCATGCTTTTGTCTTCGTGGATCTGCACCAAACCACTGCATGCTTTGTCGCTCTCATAGGGAAACCGGCCTCCATCACCTGCCAAGACAGTAGGTAACATTTATTGGGTACAATGAAACAGAAGCAGAGACGTAAAAAACCACATCGCACGGAACATAAACGTTTGTGTGTTTACATGCAGTGTGACACACAGAGTTGGCTTGAGTTCATCTTTCTTCATAATACTACAGTGGAAAGGGACAGTAATGTTATGATTTATATGTGGTAGATACTTGAGCACAGGTCTGTCAAACTCAGGCCCGAGAGCCAAACCAGGCCTGCGCCACCATTTTTGTGTGGCCCCTGAGATGATTTTCAATTATCTTTTTCATAGTAACTTGCTGATGGGCTACTTTGACATGTTATACTTCATTTTAAAGCCTATTGTCTCAACCATAGAATTGTATCTGTTCTAAAATGTGATCTAAAATCTCTATACAAGTTATAGTTACTTAATTATAATTATTATTTTCTTCATTATCAGTCTTTCAATACATCTCTTATAGATATTAAACCCAGTTATAGTTGAATCCAGAACACACACTTTTAAACTTCTGTTAATACTAAGAAGAAGTATACAAAAAATTATACTTTGTCTAATCAGAAGTATACAAAATGTTATACTTCTGGCCCCAACTAGCCCCTAACTGATTGATGAATTGTTTTTTAATTTGGCCACTGAACAAAAAGAGTTTGACACCCCTGCTTTATCAGCTTCTCCTTGGATTGTAGAAGGCAAACTAAATTGTTTTGGGTTTAGCTTAAAATCATGAATTATCTTAAATATCTCACAATTTATCTGATTTATATGGCAACTATGTATTCTCTTTTTTTTGCATATTTATCATTTTAATTAGTACCACGCTCACGCCAAAGGTCTCAAGGTCAAATTTAGTGTCATTAACTTTTGGAAAGCTCAGCACTTAACGGGACGTTTTAATTGGTTACTGCAGATGTGTGTGCACTAATGTGTGAATATGTAATGTAATGAATGCAAAATGTTGCTCATTAGCACTTAATTTCAGGCTAACTCACCCTTGGTTTGCTGAACGTTCCATACATGTCAATAGCTTCTGGTCGGAGCATATATGGCGCTGTAGCAATTAAAAGAACACAGATTGTTCAGATGGTAAATGTAACTTTTTCAAGTGGAAAATGTGACATGAACTTTTCTCCATAACAATTTGCAATATATATATATTTCCCCCAAAATATAAAGGGAAAATAATGCATTCTACGGACTTTCTTACAACCGGGCATCTCTTTAAAAATCTTTCTGCAGGAGTCCTTTTTCTTGGCACCGAACATGTTCTATCTCATTTTTGACAGTTTTCCTCACTACAAAAAACATTGTAATGGATTGATGTCACTTAAAGCTCGGGTACCTAACATTCAAACAACACCAAAATGGAACAACGTGATGAATCTATGTCTAGTTACATTTCTAAAATAAATGTTTTCATTCTCAAAGGTTCTGCCTCTGTTTCATATTTAAGTTTTATTCAATAGAAAGGTAAAAAAGAGGACCAACCTCAGCTTTCAGTCTACAGATTCCAAATGTGACACAGGGCTCTTTCTTACTAGTATGCAAACAATATCATTTTTCTATTAAGATGAAGACACCCTGTTGTGATGTGAAGTCTTTAAGGACTTTCTATGAAAAATAGGAGTTGGGTAACCCAGCTTTAAAAAAAATCTTAAATCTCTTCATCTCTGTAATCAAAGCAACAGCTGCATTTTGTTTTTTTCACGGTATTGAAATCTCATGCTTTGTTTGCCTTTAATTCACCATGTGATCACTTTTATCTTCAACTTAATCCAAATACCAACGCTCAGTCTGGTTTTACAATCCAGTACGTTTGATTTTGACTATTTCCTACTATTATGGAATGTCCAATTCTGCCATACTTGTAGTTACAAATTGTAGTAACGAGTGGCAGTCTCCACAGACCTTCAGGCCTGCTGTCCGCGTAATCACACGCTGATTTAGGCCTAAGTAAACAGGTGGCAGAAACCTCCATCCAATCAACACGACAAAATAGATTAATTAGGAGCTCTACAAAAAGTCATTGTGGGGCTGAGAGGTGGGGGAAAGCAGGGGAAACATCAGCTGGCTCCCTTTATACAATCAAATTATTTTACCAGAGCGAACCGCGTAATATTTGCGATATTAGGGTCATGTCCTTATTGCTCAGCCAACAACTAAGGCAGAGACCGCGTGGCTCGTTTAAGAAAGCTATTAGCGTCACGCCTTGCTAACAAATGAACTTAAATGGACTCCGAAGAACGCAATTAAAAGGTTTGAGTAACTACAATGCTTAATCAGATTGTCCGTGGGAATAACTGTATTTGCATCACCACTCAATGTCCCCGCATCACAATCTATACCTGTGGGTGTGTGTTTATGCGCATGTTTATTACGCTAGTCATTTAGGCGGACATAAATCTATTTTACGCCCAGAGTCTGTCCAAGTTAATGGGTAGTTAGACCGTAATGGTGCGGGTCCAGAATGACGATGGAAGCACTTTAGAGGAGCGGCTATTGACACCCCAAGGCTAAAACTTAATGCTCATATTGACTCATTACTATCAAGTATAGGCCATATGCGTCCATCTATCCCCTTATATGTCATTTACACGCTTTCTTGCGTCTCTACGTGCCATACGTTGGTTCATTAAGAGGCGCAATTAGCGGGGAAACAGTCGAAAGTGTTGAAGGTTGGCTCAAGAACGCTGGTTGAGCAATGTGCGGTGTCTTCCTCCAGGCATCAACAAAAGAGATTACAAAAAGTGACAATTACTTTTTTGTCCCTGACTTTATTGAACTGCGCATATGACTTTTGGTGGCTCAATCAATTATCATATGTAATTTCCTCATGGTGGGATTAATAAAGATATTGTTCATTCATTTGTTTTCTTTTTAACTGGAAAATGTGTATTATTTGTCTTATACAGTAGTCACTTCTCTCAGTAATCATTGGTTCAGTTTTGAGAAAAATATTATGAAGAATCATCTTTTTGGACTTTTTAACAGTTATGACATTTCACCATCATCCAAAACCTATGCACAAAAGTTTTTAGTAAGCTAATATTAAGCAATTCTGACACCAACCAGCACAAACACGTCAAACTGATTAGCCCAGGGTGACTCCTCAGACTGTGGCGGCGTGGTCGAAGCTGTTTTCTCTCTTTTTGAAATAAAAGCGACGTCTCCAAATTAGTTGGTATAATTTCTCCAGTTAAATAGTGTTCTTTAGTGCCTTTATAAGACGTAAAAAAGAATTATGTAATGTTCCCATTTCAATCCCTCCGTGTGCAGTTGAAGTTGGAGTCTCGTTTTTGCCAACGAGAACGATCAACAGAGTGTACCCCAAAACTATGCACCGTCAGATGTTTAAAGGGACACTTAGAAATGGGGGATCTAAACTTATAATCAGGGTCATTTGAGTAGCTTCTGTTGTCATTCTAATTTGTTTCAAGTATATTCATTGAGATTATTCAACAAAGTTATTCAAGACTTAAATTTGATTTTTCTTTTTTTTCTACAAGACCATAATCATAAAATAAAATGCCCCACCCACCCACACCGTCCCTGTGACTGTTCATCTCTAAGAAAGGGTAACAGGTGTTGCCACATTTTTTAAAATTCATTCAATTTGTCGTTAATGGTGTATCATATTTGCTCTAAATGAATCAGTGAGTTCTGTGACCCACATTTTGAGAGAAGGAGTGTCTTTTCCTTTCCATAATTGAAGAAGTTTCTTGCTGTATCTATTGCATATGAGTGTGTGTGCGGCATGACCAAGAGTGTCTGTCTTTTTACAAAATTCAAAAGATTATGAGGAGATTTGGAGCTATTTCCACCTTCAGGACATAGGACAAATAATCAAAAATTGTAATCCAAAAAACCCTGAACATTTGGATAAACTACATAACTCTGTATCAATGCAACTGTACATATCTCACACATGGGTGAATACTATTTGACATCTATTCATTTTCTCTCTTGAGTCATTTTATATTGGATTAAGCAATGACGTGCATTTATAGAGGTAGTCTTTATTTTTTGTAAAGCTTGTTGTTAAATACATAATAATTTTAATGCCATGTCAGTTTTATTATTTGAAAACTGTAACACGTTAATAATAGTAATCATAAAACTGATGATAATAATACATTTTATTCATATGCCGCCTTTCTGGGCACTCAAGGTTGCCTTACAAATGATACAAAGTCAAAAGCAAAATAGTATTCAAAAAAATAAAATAAAAAAGGTTTAGCTTGTTTTATTGTGACTCTTGTCTCTGACTTTGGGGCTGCTCCTCTCTCCTCTCAGGTGCCGCCGGGGGGCAGAGGGGCTTCCTGGGCTGCATACGGGGGCTGAGGATGAACGGCATCACGCTGGACCTGGAGGACAGGGCAAAAGTCACGCCCGGAGTCAAACCTGGTTGCCAAGGACACTGCACCAGTTATGGGATGTACTGTCGCAACGGAGGCAAATGTGTGGAGAAGTACAACGGATATCTGTGCGACTGCTCCAAGACGGCCTACGACGGGCCCTTCTGTACTAAAGGTAACGGCAAGATCCTTTACGTAACCCTCTTAAGGTTCAATTCCATTTTAATGATAGGAAAACTCATAGTATCACAGTTTTAGTTTCAAATTATTAGAGTTGGTAGTGATACTGACTTGAAATTAAGACTGACATTTTGAAAGTGAGACAGCTCTGCCCCCTGGTGAGCAGGGGTGTGTTGCTTACATGTGCTGCCAAAGCTCAGCAGCTCAGAGTAAAAAGGAAAAAAGTAATCAAGGAGGGTTAACCAGGGAATCCCACTGATGTTCAATATCTATACATGTGCGTTTTTTTATCTTCACATCCATCATCAATTCCTACAGATTGTCATTAAGTCACAAACTATTAACAATGTAAATATGAAGTATAGAGCTGTCTGCTGTGTGAAGCTTCACAAGATGTCTTTGTTGTATTATCTACATTTTTCAAGCAAAATGTGATTTATTTATTTATTTTTTGCATGTGAGAAATGTGCCATTGATTTGCTGTTTCTTCACTCTATGACTAGATTGGTAAATTGGTATTTTACTTTCTACACAAAGTCTCTTTTCATTTCAAAAATCCTTAATTTTTAAATCTTTATTTTTGTGTCTTGGCTCTGGGATAAGACATAGAATGTGTTCGGTTTTGTCCCGGCCCATTTACACTGACTTAACCGAGCAGAGGACACATAGAGAATAGAAAGCTGTAGCAAATAAAGTATTCCATTAGTCAGGGTTAGGGTTAGGTCTATTGTCACTGCACATATAGTGTTAAAGTCACCCATTGTTTGTTCTGAGGAATAACACTCAGTCAGACTTTATAAGAATTGAACACATCTATGTCTTTAAGTAGATCTGCAACTTCTTCTGTCGATGAACCGCTCAATGGTGTTGATGGCACCTTTATCAGTCTGCTATCAAGATGAAAGAATATGAGGAGAGGGAGCGAGGTTTGCCTTTGATCTCTTTTTTCCGGATGAATCAGCGTTTGCAGACTTGTTTCCACCTGTGAAAATCTCTTTAAAGCAGATGTTAAGTGACGTCTTTCTCGACTCCAGCGACCTCTTCAGTCTGCACAACACGATAAGACTTTTCATTTGTTTGTTGCTTGGGATTCATTAGATCCAGAATTAAACTTCTTCCCCGGAAAAAAAACAAGTTTGGGGGGAAAGCGCTGTGGGAGGGTGACTCTTTGCCTTTTCCACAGTCAGAGGGTTGATCTCCGACACATGAATTAATTTGTTTCCTAAAGCGGAATATAGCTTTTTTTCCCGGGTGCTCTTGGCAGGAGGCTGACAAGATGACAGAGGAGCAGGAGGAGCAGGGCACTGCACTGGTCTGCGCGCTCGTGTGGAGGTGGTGGATGGTAATGAGCAAGTTTACGACACGCAAATAGCTCGTCTAAATGCTGTCAGTGCTGATCAGGAAGTTCAGGATTCACAATAAGGGGTTAGCGACCCACTGCGCTGTTGTTTTGCATCTGTCAGTGCAGCCTCAGCACGGAGACGAGGTGGAAGATGTCGTCAAACAGCTCCATCGTTCCGTGTAGTGATGTCACCTAAGGATTCATTTTAGAGACGGTGATTAAATAAAGAAATAAAAACAAATGACCAAGAAAGGAATCTGTAATAGCAAGTACCTGTCGCTCAAAAGTTTGCTTAGATCACTAGTTTTTGGGGCAACAGTGGCTCAGTTGGTGGAGGATTGGCCTTTGAGCTTGAAGGTTGTGGGTTCGAGCCCACCACAAGACTTTCTCCACCGACTCCCACTGATGTCTGCTGTTGTGTTGTGTCCCTGGCAAGACACTTAACCTCTGAGAACACCTGATGCCACAGTGGGGCGGCTGTAAAGTGCCAAACTGCTGTTGTGTCCTAAGGCAAGACACTTCACCCCCATTGCTTAGAATAAGTCAGGTGTGTGTGAGAATGGCTGGGGGTGGACGAAGGGGCCGATTGGACATACTGGTTGCCTTCTGTCAGTGTGCCCCAGAGCAGCTGTGGCTAGTAGTTTATCACCACCGTGTATGGAGTGAAAGAAGAAGCGTCTTTGAGTGTCCAAAAATGCGCTATATACATCCTTACTCCTTACCGTCAGCTCTCAGCCCAAAGTGTCATATAGTGATTCACAGGGCTCTTTCTTCCCAATATGTAACAGAGAAAATGTGTTGTAATAAGCATTTTTCTGTTTGTTACTTTTACAAGACTCTTTCTGTTGGGACAAGCAAAATGTATCATTTAGAAACAAAAAGTTAGGTACCCCAGCTTTTAGGCTTTAAGCTTCTACTTAATGAAAGTAAAATATTTCACCTACAACTAAACAGTACTTTCTAAACTGGAATTGACATGAGAGTAATATGGGCTTTAATGTCAAAAATAGAGATTTCTGTCTGAATATGACCATGTCTCTGCTGTTGTCTTGTAAGGGGGACTGAATACTGAATAAGAGCGTGGACATGTTTATTTTAAAACATTTTTTTTCCTCCTAAATCTACCGTTGTTTTGTTCTGCACTAAAGTCTGTTGTTCATCTGTCCCAGTTCACGAGGAGGGCACTTGTTTATTTGTATGCATAACCTCTGTTCCACTACTAATTTATGCTTTCATTTCCATTTTTAGCCATTTTTCTTTCCGCTACATCCCTGTTGCCTTGCTCAAAATCGCATCTTCCCTGCATTTAGTCTCCCCCTGTCCTGTCCTCTCCTCCTCCCAGTGAGTGAAAAATGCATGAAGCCCGCTATAATTGCCCCATGAATTTCCATTGTATCCATATTTACGCCCAGCTCTGGGGAAGCTGCTGTGTTATTAACAAACATTTTCATTCTTCTGCGTCAGTGCCCTCAAGGGTCACATAAAACCACTCCACGTTTATACGCACGCAGGGATCACACCTTTAGGAGCCGCACGCATGTACTGTATTCTACCTCAAAAATCACGCTCCGACTCGGGGGGGGAAAAAAAAGCCCACGAAAGCATAATGCGCACCCCAAAGCTAGATTTTCTCATTCATTCTTTTTGGCTTCCGGACATGAGTGCGTGTGGCTGTAAAGCTCAAGGCTGCTTTGCTCAGCAGGAGAGAAAAAGGGTCCACATTTTGAATAGACCCAAAACAAAGACGTTTCGATATAGAAAAGGCTGGGATAGATTGCGGCGTGCTACATGACGTCTGTAAAAGTGCGGCGAGGACAATGGAGCCGGTTTCAGCAAGAGTCTTATATGTACAGTGGTTAGAAGCTGTTTGTGCTGGGAAAAGTTGTGCTCAAGGGAGATCGGATTTAAAGTTCTCCAATCCTTTTACATTTACAGGGTTCAATCTGCTTTCTGGGTTGCTTTGAGATAATGAGGTTTAAAGCTGATTGGATGATGGACTGTTTCGGCTGAGGCTGATCATGATCTGTTTTATGTATTTTATTCTGCATTTCGGCACTTTTACTGTATTTTTATCTTGTGTTTCTGTGTTTATATGCATGCTCACAGTCTGCAAATGAAATTCCTCACAGATAAATCAAGTTATTTGAATTTGAATTGAATTGAGGAATTTCTATAACAGGGAACTACTGGTAAAACTCTGAAAATGTGCAATAACTTTTCAACCTCTTGATGCTGGATATTTGTTTAGTTACACTTTATCTTTCTCCTATTGCGGCATAGAACACATGTTAAAACAAATCAAAGTAAAGGCTAAGAAAGTGTGGAAAGTGATTTGAATATTGATCAAAAGTCCATTTACTTTGACTTATAATCATATTGAAAACAAACAAAGGCTGGCATATGTCTCTTTGATGTAATAAGTCTATAACATAAATTGGCTTCATGATTTAGGAGTACAGAAAGTAGAAAAATTCCATACAGAAGTACAGAAATTAATAAACTTTTGAACTATACTAATTTTTTGAGTTCCACCTGTATACACAGACGTACATACCATTATAAGAAGGGTGAGGATACTGTTCGCTTTTGAGAACGGTAACTTTATGCATGCCTTATTCTATTCTCCACTTTAACTTGTTTGAGAGCCAAAGCAATTTTCTAGTTTGTGACTCCTTGTTACTCACAAGGCCATAAAATAATTCTGATTCTGATTCGGAAATTGTCTACACATAATAGTGAGTTGTTGCTCAGATATTTATGGTCTTTTAAAAGTCTCCAGCTCTGTACTGATCCGTTTTATTTGACTCCTGTCCTTAGTTTTTGTCGTTCGAGAGAAAAAACACCCTCATTACCTTGACATAGTGTATTGTAGTAGTAGCAATAACGATAGCACTTCTGATACACACTTAACCTTGGACACTGCACTTCCTCTCAGCATTTACTTTTTTTAATTTAATGGCCGTTGTTTTTGTAACTAGAAAGCATGCACACATTTGGACACAGATGATGGGCTCAGGAGAGGAGTGAAAATGGGGTCCGTGGCACTTGATGAGAAGATTCAATGAGCCTTCAGGACTGACAGCGATATCTTTTGTTGTGCTAATGTGATAAACTGGCACAGATTTTACACCCTCTAACTATATTCACTCAGCAGCTATCGGAAGTATCGGTTATGTGCGTCTAAGCCTGTGCCAATGGCGGTCGAGCCAACGTGCGCCGTATTGATTCACTGCTGTATACGTGATATGGTTTAGGAGCCGTGGGCAATAAGCAATACCACGTGGGCAATGACCCATCACATCATGTTGTTTTTGGTCTATGGTTCTCAAGAAAACTGATTATATTTGTGCCTGCTCCTTATAGATTATATAGCTGAGGAAAAAGTGTGACGAACAAGAAAACATTGATAATACTATAATTGTGAGCCTCCTCAGTCCTGCATTACGTGGCCTCAGTACTCGTTCTACAGCCTGAGTCCTGGATCTCTAGCCTGTCCGTCTGTGGGAGCAGATCCCTCTCTCAATGTGGTTATCTACGAGATTCTCACTTTTTCCCACTAGGACTCCTGGAATTCAAATCCATGGAAGTCTGAGAATTTCCCCAGAAATGTTTTTCCAACCTCTCCTCACATTTTACATGATTTGAAACTGGATATAACTAGAAATACAGAAAAAAAAAAAAACTGTTCGTTGAAAGGTTTAATGCTAACTGATGAAAGTAAATTTTGTGTTGCTACAGTATGGTAGCTAGCTCAAAATTCTGAAAATGAATGTAAACGTAAAAGATAATTTTTTTTGGAGAAAAAGAATGACATAGAAATAAGCTACATATAGAAACACAAGTCACAAAGTTATGAAGATTGAGACAGCAGTACACTTTGAGTCGTCAATTTGACTGCTCTGGAAGTTCTAGTGTTAACAAAACAAGAACATCAATTGAAATCATACAAGGTATTGAAATCGCAGTCCTTCTATGATATGCTCAGCTGTACAAAGCTTTTTTAACCTGCATTAGAACTCAAGTCACATTTTCAGATAGTAGCAGCGTAAATCTGAAATCCTGCGTCCCCATGTGTCCTCGGAGTTTGTTCAATCAGTTTGTGAATGTTACTGTATCACAAAGAAGCAGTATTTTCACATTTTTTTACAGTTATCCACATGACTTCTTCTTTCTTACTTTTTGAACATGTTTTTATTGTCAAACCCTGTGCTCCCATTTGAACCACAGTTTAAAATGTTGCTCTCTCGCTCACAGACATCGGCGGCTTCTTCGAGGTGGGTACCCTGGTGCGGTACAGCCTGGCCCCGGAGCCCTTCTCCTCCAGCAGAGAGGCCCGGCTGCAGTCGCATCAGCTGTGGCCTCAGGAGGTGAACCTGACCCGGGAGGAGGTGAGTGTGAGCTTCAGCACCTCCAGCTCCCCCGCTCTGCTCCTCTACGTCAGCTCCAAGACACACGACTACATGGCCCTGCTGCTGCGCCACAACGGTGAGAGCAAATCAAGTTTTTTGTTTGAGAAAGCACCAAAGAAGTGTTGTCTCATTATGTTAAAGCTGGGGTACTGTAACTGTAACTGTCAAACCACAACAAAGAAAACAATGTTGTGAAATCCATTTGACTACCGTAGTTCCTTGCTTTATAATGCATGTCGTTTTTGGCCTCTGTCACAACTTTAGATCAGATTTTTCAGACAAAAAAGTCAAAAAGAGAGGACCCTGTGAGTAAATAGTGACTCACGGGGCTCTTTCTTTCAAGTTTGCAACATATTTAAAGTAATTTCATAAGATAAATATGGAATGTAGTGGTCTGATTTGTTCTCAAAAGGTCTTCTTCACAAGATTTTTTTGTTGCGTTAAAGTAAATGCATTCCTTGTGACCTATAAAAGTTAGGTACCCCAGCTTTAAGTGCACTCAGTGATGTCATGAGCTCATTTGTAGTTGCTTGTTATGATTTTGTTTGAACATCTTTTGTCGTAGCTGTTTTTTCGGATAGTGTTGTCTTGATACACATTAGTTTATGTAATTTAAATTGGTAAATCTGTATCCATTACCGGAAAATATGGCTCTGACCGAACGTTAATAATTGAGAAGTTTGTAATCATGATGGCAGATCATTACAAGATTGTGTCTAGTGTTTGAACTGCAAACACCATACATTTCTTTTCCGTGTGTACATTTGTCATTCTGGTATTTTACGAGTGCGTTGTGAGCGGGAAATCCAAATGAATATTCAAATCGGAGCCCACGGTGAGTCAGATCCAGCGTGACAACTTCTAAAGTCAGTGATATAACACCTTCGTGGAGTGAGGTGGTACTCATCTTTTATTAATCCTGTTTGGAGATGGGCCTTTTATGCCAGTTACATAATTCAAGAACTGATCTTCATGTTTTTGTGCGTGTAGGCTCGCTGCAGGTGCGCTACAGTCTGGGCGGTCTGAGGGAACCCTTTGCCATCGACGTGGACCAGCGCAACCTGGCCAACGGACAACCTCACAACATCAATATGTCCCGGGTGAACAGGAGCATTACCATACAGGTGCGCATCTCACTCTGACGCTAAAGTATAAAAACGGACCCTTGTGGTGGCTCGGGCTGGTCCAGGATGCGGAGGGGCAGTGGTGTGGTGACGGCCTGGTCATGTGTCACTATCTTCTCCCATTACACTGCCACGAATGAAAATTATTTATATATATATATATATATATATATATATATATATATATATAAATAGCTTGAATATAAATACACTACAATAACATTTATTCTTGTACAGCCCTAAATCAACACCAACATACTATAAAACACCAACGCTATCGATTTGACCAAGTGAAAATATTGTACTGTCTGGTAAAAAATAAGAAAAAATTGAAAAATAGAAACAAATCTAATTAAAGCCGCAAGCGGCGTCGGACGGCCCTCGCCGCACCGCGCGCACCACCCCGCACCAAGCCGCCCCGCACCAAGCCGCCCCGCACCAAGCCGCCCCGCACCAAGCCGCCCCGCACCAAGCGGATCTGCACCAAGCCGCAACGCGCCGCTCCACAACCCCCCGCACTACGCCGCACCACACCGTACCACGCAGCACCGTGCAAAGGAGGTGGGGCCGCCGTGTGATGATTTGTTGCTGTTGCCATAGAAGAACGTTAGTCAAATTGTAATGAATATGATGATTAGAGCTGTTTGGCACCCCATGTAAAACTTTGTAGTACATGGCCCAATAGCGCCCCCTTAATAGTAGGGGGCGCTATTGGGTCAATTTGAAATATTTCACTTTCACCTGACCTAAACCCTGGAGTTGAACATTGGATTCAAGTTTTGTGCAAACGGGAGAAAAATTAATGTTGTGAAAAACGGTCAAAAAACACTCACATTTTGCCGCTCCGCTGCTCAAACAACGTTTCACTGATCAAAAATCCCTTTGGTCATTTTGAAGGTACATGTGTTGAGATGATCTGGAGTGATATTGAGGCCAATCGGTGAAACGGCCGAGGAGGAGTCGCTTTCCAACCGACATGTATGAAAATGATTGGTCGTATCTTGACTCGAGGAACATGTGTACCGAATTTCATGGATCTACGACAAACTTGACCTTTGAAACTCCCATTGGCTGTTGTAGGTGGCGCTGTTCTGGCATTTTTTGAGTCCCATAAAAAGAAACACCAAAATATCAAATTTTTCACCAAGTCTGATGTTTGGGCAAAATTTTACAACTTTTCATGCATGTTCAGGGGGTGAAATTAAGGCTCAAAGTGCAGAATTTGACATCTCTCGAGCAAAAACAATTGTGGTTCAATGAAGTTGCTCGAACGTGGCCTGTCACCTATGGGGTAAAGTATGTGTAGTTGTGCCGCGGGGCTTTGGTGCGTCGCTGGTTTGTTGCTGCCCTAGTGCCTGGCTGGGGTCATCGTGCTGCTGGTTGCTGTCATGTCGTCGCACATTGCTTTGCTAGCGGCACCAGACACACAGGTGTAAATATGATATTCACAACGATGGAAATGTATACGATTTTTCTTCCTCCCACTCATTTTCGAGTTTGAATAATGTCATGTTGTAATAAGTAATTGTTAATGAATGATTTGCAAGAAAATTCTATGCAGTGACATGTGATAATTAATGTTTCAATCTTACATCTATATAAATAAACACTTAACTCAACTCTGAAATAGTCCGAAAGCATCCTCTGCGGCCTTTTGCTGACACCGAGAAGATGACAGATTTAAGTCCATTCTCAGCAGCAGTAACAGTATCGCACACGCTTCAGCACTGAGTCACAAGGGAAAGCATTGTGTTCTGTCCTATAGTGTTGTGTTAATTCATCGTAGCACAAGACAAATACGGCCGAGCCTGCATTGATCTGAGTGTAAGCGTGTTGTAATGGCTGTGCATGTATTACTTTGTCCTGTATGTGCATATATTTATTGGGGCAGAGCAGGCGCTTGCAGATATCGTCTTGTAGCTTAGTGTAGATCAATGCTGTTGTAATGTTAAAGCCTATACCACAGATTAGGCTACTACTAGTTAGTTATTCAAGATTTGACTCCAAAAAAAGGTGCTCCAGGGTCCCCTACCACTAGAAACATGTATAGCCTGGGGCATCGTCTGGTCCTCCCGGTTCTGCGCAGTGGACGAGCTCCCATGATGCATTACGCAAAATACGCGTGCGTGGCTTTCATGCACGTGCACAGAGGGGCTCGGCTGCGCTCTGACCAATCAGAGCAGTGGTAGAGCGGAGTCAGAGCGGGAAGGAAACAAGCAGAGTTTGTGGCAGTAAAGTGTGGATGTAAAGAAAACCGAAGGATTTAAGAAGAAAAAAAGTTCAGGATGACAAGGGACACTAAAATCCCCTCAAAATCCGATCTTTATGAAAGCTGTAGGCTCTCTGTCAGCTGAGGTTGAGCTGTTTTAATTTACATTGAGATCTATGGGACTTTTTTCTAGGTAGCCCACGTGAATTTAGTCTGCAGTACCACGGGCGCCCCCTGTGGGACAGCTTTAAGCTAGTAATACCCTATCCAGTTATTATTATAGATCCATGGGTTGGACATGGGCAACAGATGTGACATAAGAAATAACAACAGCAGCATAGAGCCATATTTTTTTTTTTTTAGGAATGATAAACACCTTTATTTTGTGAAACTGATTTTACTGTTACTTTTTTATTCAAGTTTTTGTTACAAGAAGAGACTTAAGTGATGTATAATGACCAAAAATATTGAAGTGTTCTGTCCCAACAAACAATATAGTTACTAGGAAAATAAATAATCTGTCACATGCATTTTAAAGGTCAAAAACGTATCTATCACTGTATCATCTGCCGAGTTAAGGAGGTATTCTGGAGTATTTATTGTTGGTAAATTGGTGTTTAAGAGATACGATAAACTTGTTCATTAAGATTATGCCTCTACCATAATGTGCTTTTAATTCCTTAGGGTTGAACAAGAAATATTACACTTTCCATCGCTTCATACTATGGTATAATTACACAGTGGCAGATCCTAATCAGATGGATTGCAATACAATTATAATCTTAAGATGTTTTCAGATGTGACATGCAAGGAATAGCAACTGTCTTTATGTATTCCCCCCAAGTGGGAATGAAAATAAGCTTAATGTTGAGTTGAAATAACAAAAACACCAAGCTGTGTCAAAGCCCTTTGCTTTTATGTTTGTCGTGTGAAGAATGTCATCATATACACATAAGTCAGGAGGGAGAATACTTTGCATAACGACAGTGGGACGAGCCGAGAAGCTGTGTTTGGGTGAGTGAAGCTCTTAACATCAGAGTTTAGACTTTTGCACGGATTGTTCTTTTCTTTATAAAGTTATCCTAAAAATATGTTGTAAAGTGTCTATTCTGCTCCATGTGGATGAGAAACTGGCCAATGCAATTCCCTCCGATCCTATAGTTGCGCCGTGACTTTCGAAGAGTTTGAGAAGAGAGAACATTTTGAAAGTTGTAAAATGTTGACTGTTTGTAAGGCAAGGCAAGCTTATTTGTAGAGCACAATTCATACACAAGGCAACTCAAAGTGCAGAACAAAACAAGATAGAAACAGTCACACAAGGCATTAAGAGAAATACAATCAGCAATGCAAAAATGAGTATTAAATAAAAATCGACATTTAAAATAAAATAGCGTAGTTATTATTTAATAAAATACAACACCAAGCATATACAAACTATTTTTTCACCTAAAGATGTAAAAATCTTAAGCTCACTATGCATTACCATGAGGCGTCCTTCGCCACGGTCCATCTATATTCAGTGATGCATCATTAAGAGCACAATCTCATCACCTCCCCACATTTGCAACCGGAGTGAAACATTTAGACAGCTGGAGAATGAAACTGAAATATCTCGTCTAAGTCCTCCTCATTTCCTGAACAAATATTGCCCCGCGGCCCCTGATCACTCCACTGGGGCCACTTTACTGACACAGAAACGTATTGGAGTCAATGGAGAATCCTTCACCCCCCATAGATTTGCACATAGATGCCTTGTATCGGCAAATGTGGACCGACAGAAGACCGATGGAAGGTTTGGAGTGTAGCTTCACAAACAACTGCATCCAGAGGTAAATATTACACAACATTGATTATTAGTAAATGCCTTTATGTTTGCTTTTTGTACTTAGAGAGTCAGTGATTATTTCCGGGCGTATTTTTTTGTAATATTGTTGTAAAACATCCCTAAACCATAGCAGTGGTCACGTTATCATGTGTTTTCAAATAGTAATGGAATTGACCAGATATGCCTGTAGTCTACAAAAAATAATGAAAAATATTTTGGAGCGGATTGATAAAAATAAACCAATGGGCGTCGTTCATCCCCAACGAACCAATGGGATGCGTTTACCCCTCTTCCTGTTTCTCGCGAGTTAGATAACCTGAGTTATCAGATTTTCTAAAACCAAAACAGAAAATGCTAATTTCACGTTAGCCACCCACTCTCCCTGTTGTGACAAAGAAAAGAAAATGCTGGATGTTTGGTTCGGTGGAGAGGCGAGGGGAGGGGGGAGTGGTTTCAAGTTGGCGCCACGGCTAAGCTAACAAAATCACTTACTGCACCTTTAATTATTTGCTTCTTATTCTGGATTATAGACGGCTTCCTTAATATGCTAAAGCTAGAGATTTTATTTTATTATTTTATTTAGTAGAGTTTAGGATAGAGGTACTTAGTATAGTGTATTTACTGGTGATGCAACACTGAAATTCCCCACTGCCAGACAAATAACAAATCTCCTAATCTTAATCTTAATCTTTTTCCTCGACTATAAAGCTTGATTGGCAGAGGTTTACTGAGCCACTCCATTCTCAACATTGCATTTATCAAAATCAATCCTCCGCACCTATAATTGTGATGTAAGTTCTGTCTCTATAATCACAGTGTTTAGAGTCGCCACACATTAGGAGCATGTCCACTTTATAATTTTAGGTTGTAGCTGAATCGGTGCAAAGGATTATGCAGTAGCAAATTGAACCTGTTTCATTTCTGTATCCACGTTTGAAAAGAAAAATACTCTCGTTTTCATAATGT